AAACAAATGATTAAAACAAGAAATAAAACTATTTAAATTAACATTTCAGCTGTCATCTTCATCAGGATATAATATTAATGTCAATTGTAAAAAGAATAGTATCAGTTATAATTTCTTCTGACACCTGCTTGACTAAACATCCTAACAACAGTGAACAATGAAACTTTGATTTAAATGAAAGTTTAATTTCTGAATCATTTATTTACTTAAAAATAAACTTCAATTAGCATGAAAGCTTGAAAAGCAAACTTTCAACCCAATGTCAATGACATTTCCCAAAATGCAAAAATTTTCTGTTGTCAGCATACTTAACAACTGTAGAACAGATTGATTATTAATTCAATGTTATAATCCCTAATGAATTTTGTAGCATATTTTCTTCATTTCCTGATTCACAGACTATAAGATAAGAAAAAAACTGAATGAAAATATTTTTTTTGTTTGACTTTTACATGGATTGATCAATGTTATTTTCCACAAAAATATTGCACACAGGTGACCAATATGAGGAACAAGTTAAAACATAGTATGAAAGAAAATTCTTACATACAGTTAAACAACATTAGTAAGAATACTGCTCTTTTGGTTTTAATTTTATTCAAAACAGTGGTTAACCAAAAAAATTTTGGATTAAAGCTAATCAAAATGTAGTAGAATTTTGTAATATTACAATGTAACTATGAATACTGAACCGACTGGGCCAAATTCTGTACTGACAAAAATCTACAAAAGAATGTAGTTTATTTCACCTTATTTAATGTACTTACAGATGATATACATAGATTCAGAACACATCAGACAAAGTTGGCTAGATAAGATTAGCATCAGATAATCAAAGTATGAGAGATACACCTTCCATAACACCACAAGAATTACCTTAAATGGAAATACCTCAACCAGCATATTTTCTCAATATTTTTTCACAACTTGGATGTGTAACATTTGATGTACCAAAATTAAAACCTTTGACTGTTCAACAAAACAGAAACTAAAATCAAAATTTGAAAAAAGAATTACAAGTTATGGAGAAGCTCCAAGAACTATAATCAATACTCTAGCATTCAAGCAGGTGAAAAAGAGCCACTGCATGAACTTATAAATAATTAAGATAGGAGACAACAGTAAAGAGCGTGTATTTAAGGATAAAGAAAACAAAAAGTTCATTTAATTATTTTAAACAATTATACATAAACCAGTTGAGAAAAACCTGAGACACAATGTAGAAAATAAACCAAAAATAAAAAGGTTTGTAAAACCCTGGAAATTGGAAGCCAATTTTTTCCATCTTTTTATTAACTGCTTCCAAAATACTTTTTTTTTATTCAACTTCTATCTTCAAGAGAAAAAAATGTAGACTATAATATTACCTTTATCACTAGAAATATAATAACTTGGCCCCCCTATTGAAATATTCCAACATTAAAGACTATTTTAGTTTCATCTGAATTTTCACATATTTCCTTTATCAGCAGAACTATAATATGATACTTTTGTTAAAAATAACTGGGCCTCCCTATTGAAATATCCCAACAATCAGGACTATTTTAGTTTCATCTGAATTTTCACATCCCAAGATGGAAAATGTGCAGAAGCACTTGGAGAAACTTAAACCACCTAATCAATCGAGATAGAGGATGCTTGTTTAATACTGTGTATTCATTCCTTGATATTGTCTCCTAATGTTTTTTCTAACCTTGATATGTTGTGTTGCAGTGTTATGCATAATTTAGTATTGTATGTAAAATGATTACGTTTTTTGTCTAGCTATTTTAGCAAGTATAAAATAAATAGTTAACAATATTATTATTATTCATTCAGTTACTTGGGTGTAATTACTGGTATCTTCAGTTTTGTTTACTCTTCTTATATAAATATTTTGAATTAACACTCACCACATCAGGTAATTAAGCACAATATTAATAACAAGGATCCCATTTTAAAAAGAATGATACACTTTTATATAAGCTATTTGGAATAACAAGAACTGCTGTGGTGCTGAACGAACAATTTCAAACACCCGAGGAATGGTTCTAAGTGTACTTGTAAGAGAATATTACGACCAGCCTTTTCTCATTTTCTAACAATAAACTGTTTTCTGTCCACAGTGTTCCAAATGAGATTTAACTAGTGATTATTGTCAAGAATTCAGTACCTATTTTGATTTGTAATTAGTATATCAATAAATATACCCTAAATGTCTTAGATTTACTACTAGCAACAGAGCACTGCTTTGGTAGTCTGTCTTATTCACCACCATGCCAAGCTCCACTTCTGCTGTCATTCTGTTGAGTGGGTTTCCATCTATAATAAACATGTGATTCAAATTATGATAAAATTACTATTAATGTTTAGGTATTGCAATATTTCTTCAGCATGTACTTTAGTTTTTGTTAAATATAGTCTTTCATTAAATATAAGAGTTCCATTGTCTTCTGTACCATCAATTTCACATTAAATACAAGAAAGGAACAAAATTGTAATAATAACAACACACCATCCTATATAATTTCTAAACCAAACTATTTTTATATGTGTTTACCAGGATAGCCTACAGTAGCTGAATAGTAGCACATGTAATAAAAACACAAAGTGTAACTAATGTGATTAACATTAGTCCCAAGTAGAGACTGTGTTTTGTGTAACCCTTGGCATTCTGTATTACATGTTCCTTTGATTAATTTTCTTTTTAATAAGTGTGCAAGAGCAAAAAAATTTTAAATGTGTACAAACAGTTACTTCATATTAATCTTCAATAAAAATTGTTCTCTTTTTATACGAAAAAAATAAATTTTGTTGCTAACTTCCAGGGTAAACTGACAGCAAGGGAAAGAATCAACATTTTAATGGACCCTGGTACTTTTGTGGAATATGATATGTTTGCTGAACATACCTGCACTTACTTTGGAATTGACAAAGAAAAGGTAATATAAATACTTTAAGTAAGCTGCCTTTTTATTTTGAATATAATATTTATTTTTAAAATGGGATTCTTGTTATTAATATTGAGCTTAATTACCTGATGTTGGGAGCAATACAAGTTATACTTTAGTGTCTAGTGTACACATATATAGCTGGGTTGGGAACAATACAAGTTATACTTTAGTGTCTAGTATACAAACAACAGCTGGGTTGGGAACAGTACAGGTGACAAAAATGTAGAACACACAATTGAATGTAAAGATAACTAACCTTGTCCTTATTTTAAGTTTTCAATTTACCTATCCACAACGTTTGGGTTTCCTTATCTAACAAAGGATATTAACTTAATGGAAAGGATTCAGAGGAAGGCTACTAAGATGACTCCAAAGATGGAAGGGTTACCTTTAGCAGTTGGATAAGATAACTGTTTTCTTTTGTGAAGAATACAAGGTGGTCTTATTGAAGATTACAAGATTATCTAAGGGTCTATATATAAAGGCCTCCGATTTCTTTGTGTTGTATTCTGAAGAAAGTAGTTTAAGATTTAGAATAGGCAGCCTAGAATCCAGTTAACATAATCTACAGTCATTCAAAACTGTCCTTGCACACCCACCCTTTGGAAAAGTTTAAACTTTTTTTTAATTTTTTATTCCCCTCTTAAAATACTGTAAAGCACTTCCTCCACTACTGCTAAAACAAATCATTCCATAAGTCAATCACCTTGTTAGAAAAATATAACTATCTTAACCTGAGCCTCGCCTGTCTTTCCCAAATTTTAATCTTGTGTCTTGTACAATTATTTCAGAATACAACACAAAGAATTCAGAGGCCTTTATTCAATTAATCCTCTGGATAACTTTGTAAACTTCAATAAGAATATCTATTACCTTTATTTACATTTTATTTTTTTAACAGTGATTAGTTTATAGAACGTGTTACCCTCAGCAATAACGGAGACCAGCACATTAGAAGAGTTTAAGATGGGAATCTACAATTTCCTAAACTAAAAAGGGTATATTTAAATTTTTACTTTTTTAAAGGTGGGTGTGCAAGGATAGCCTTGAAGGACCAAATGGTCCTTTGTTTTCTATTCTACACCATGTTGCATTAAACTTAATCCTCAGTGGAATGAAAAATTGTAGTATTACATGTACATTCAAACACAATTGCCATGATGCATAAAATACAATTTTGCACAAATTAATTATATTCATGTTTATTTGTTTTTTAGTACTTAAAATTTATTGCTCACCACTACTAAATCTGGCATTAAACACTTTGAACAATTCCTTACTTTCAAAAATAAACCAATTAAGGATGAGTGACAACTTCTAGAAGAATGAATAAGGGTCAAAAGTTTAAAGCAAAACAAATGTAAAATTGTGTTGTAAATATCTGAGAATTGTTTTAACTTCATTATTTCATATCACAATGAGAGTTTTTAAAACATACAATTATATACACAGTTCATTCTGAAATCATAATATTAATACTGCATATTTGTTAATGAAAGTTCACAAACAGAGTTTATTGATAATACATTTCTATAAAAATAGTGACATTTTGTCATAAATAGTATACAGCAACATTCTTATGCTCTATAAATACCATTTTCTGCATTAGGAAAACTTGCATACAAAATAATTATTTCTCTTTGTGAAAAATTCTGTTGGTTATTGCAATAGTTCAAGGTACATCAGATATTCTGTTTGAAGGTAGCGTCCTTCATAATTTAGTGCTTTATGTGTACAGAAATTTGTTACTCTTTGAAACTTTAAATAACTGCAAGTCACAAAGAGACAAAATATCTATAGCTACAGCCATACATATTTAATTTTTCAATTTTATATAAAAAAAGAGCTAGCAAAACTACATTAAAAATATTTAACATTACATTCTATATATATTTTGCTTTTGTTTTTGAGCTAACTTACAGTAATGGGCTACATACCTAAAGTGGACTAAGAAGAGTAAAATTAAAAATGACTTTTACTTTGAGTATTAATTTAATACAATCAGTGAAATGTGCATGATCGTTACAGTGATTATAAATACTAATAGCAAAGTTTTATAACAGAGATTTTTGTCCAAAACGTTTGCAGTTTGAATTTCATTTTTTAAATTAAAGTGATTTACATTTGACTTTGTCCAAGGTTGCTGATGAGGGGTAAAAATTCATCTAGAATTCGAATGACAGCTTGGGTTAAACAATTATTTTTTTTAGTAATCACATACTAGTTTGGCAGTCCAAGTCCAGGCTTAACCTCATTTCTTTCCGAGTTCCATCCTTATAATATAATATTAATACTAAGTTAATCCATAGATGAAGAAACTTACCTTCTTATGTTGACCTTCAATCCTATTTTGCCCTCCACCAAGAACAGCTTCTTTACGTTTTTCTTCGATTCTTTGCCTTACACTTAGCGTATGAGCTACTGTACACCATCGTTTTGCCTCTTGAAATATGTAATTCTTAGAATATCTTGGAAAATGATGAAAATACTTTCCATTATTTAGAAGTTTCAGTGAAACTGAAAGAGCCATCTTTACAACGACCGGTTCCTATTCTCTTCTAAACTTACTGTTAAAATATAGGTATTGAAATTACAAGAAGCTGTGTTACCAGTACTAATTTGGTTACCTCAATGTCACCACTAGATGGCATAAAATTTATATATTATTATAACTATGTAAATAAATGATAACAACTCCGACAAAGAGAGTGAAACAATTGGATTATCAATTGATATAAGAAAATAAAATAGTACTAAAATTGGGTTTCGATACTCCTGATAGATACAGCACATTATAGCTCATTGTTTAGCTTTGTGCTTAATAATAAACAAAAAAATAATAGTTTCATAAATTAGAATTTTATATTTGAAGAACATCAGTATTATAAGTTAAGGAGAATTTGTTTAATTGAAAAGTTTATATTACTCTATTATTATTTGAAAGCAGCTCATAATTTAATACATTAGTAAATTGTTTAAATTATCACTTAGTTGGTTGTAACTTATTTGTTTGTTTGTAATTAAGCACAAAACTACACGATGGGCTATCTGTGCTTTGCCCACCACGGGTATCGAAACCCGGATTCTAGCGTTGTAAGTCCGCAGGCATACCGCTGTACCACTGGGGGGCATGGTTGTAACTAGGAACATGGTATACATCACAGTTGCGGTACTGACTATTAACTCAGCTGTAAGGGCAGCTATAAACTAGGACTAGAATGTGGTGAGGAATAGAATAGTGAAACTGATGAAATTAATGAGAAACTCCAGAACGAGGTAAAGAATTCAGCTGTTGATAAAGTTATAATTATGGGAGATTTAATTTCAGACATATAAGTTGGGAAATGTTAAAGCCAAATCATGATGGATACAGGTTTATAGATATTGTTCAGGTTGCTTTTCTTCACCAATTGGTTAGGCAACCTACTAGGAACAATGCTATTGTTACGCCTCCGTTCGTTAGTTAATTTTCCGTAAATTCGTTCTGACGAAACTTTAGCGACACAAGTCCTTTCTTAAATAAAACTGGTTTATTCTTTCTGAATATAACGTTGCGATACACTTAATTTCAATAGTCGCGCTATAACAAACGCTATAATTCTCAACGAACGTCTCACGTGCTCGCCTCAACAATACTCAGTTCAGTTACACACATTGTTTATATATACAAGACTACACTATATCTAGAAGGATCCCGAGATTTAAGGAAGGGATGTGAATGTTCGAGAAGGACGTGGCGTGATACTAGTCACGTGACCTCCGCTGACGCATACACTATTTTAGATTTATTGTTAACTTCTAATACAAAAATGGTTGATAGGATGGAAACTGTGGAACATTTGGGTGCAAGTGATTATTGCTCAGCTAGGTTTGATATTTTTTGCACATAGAGAAAAGGAATAATAAGAGTTTGGTTCCAAATTTCCAAAAAGAAACTTTTAAAGAGATGAGAACAATAATTACCTCAATTAATTGGAGATACTGATTAAATACGAAATATTTTAAAATAACCTATCAAATATTTAAAAAAGCACGTTTCTTAGAGAAAAAAGGGTAGTGTAAGCAAAAAACCAGAATGGTTCACAAAGAGTATACAGGATAAAATTAAAGAAAATCATTATACATTTAAGAAGTTTAAATTATGTACAATGATAAGGGATTTGGAGGTCAAGAGAGTTGCTCGATCAATCGAGCATTAGGAAATCACAACCAGTATGAAAATAGCTTCGCTGAAAATATAAATATTAATAGTAAGGGTTTCCTTAAATACATTAAGGGTAAGCAAAATGTTAAGATTGGAGTACGGCCTTTGAGGGTTGATTCAGGATGGCTAATATCTGATGATTAGGTTATTAAATTCTACATTTTCTTCAATTTTTACTGATGAAAGTTTAAACAATATTCTTCATATTGAACAGTTTCTAGATGAAGGCAGGATCGAACAATGGAAGAAAATAGTCTATGTTTTTGGATGATTAGTCTCTTAAGCCACCCAAGCAATGTGCTGTTGTTAGTGGCAGGACAAATGGGATTTTAGGTTGTACATACAGAAATATTGAGTACAAGTCTAAAGAGGTTATTAGGTCATTGTATAAGTCATTGGTTAGGCTACATTTGAAGTACTGTGTTTAGTCTTGAGTTTCTTACCTTAGGAAGGACATTGAATTGTGGGAAAGGGTTCAGAGAAGGGTTACTAGAATGGAGCCTGGGACGTAGATGTTGTCATACGAGGAGAGGTTAAAATCTCTAAAATTTGTTTTCTCTTAGAAAAAAAAAAAAAAGAAGAGCTAGGGGAGATCTGCTTTAGGTGTTTAAAAATGTTAAATGAATTGGTCCTGTTGTGCATCATCTTTGTCCGTACTTAATGGTGAGATTGGTAAGATTAGAAAACACGAATATAAATTTTGGCAGCGTAGGAGTCGTGTTCAGCTAAACAGCTTTTTTTTTTCTTACTGGGTGGTTGGTCTTCGAAACGGGTTTGCCTTCAGATGTGGTAGATAAATTTAATTAAAGGGAGTTTCAGAAAAGGTTTGATAAATATTTGATGATAAGGTCTGGTTTTGAGTGTTTTACTTTTATTTTAAGGTTTAGTATAATGGATGGGATGGCCTAGATGGACCAACAGATCTTTTATTGTCCTTAAATCATATGTCTGTATATTTAATATATGTTCTGCGGGAAGTATTTACATCACTAAGTATTTGTTTAATCCTTAGCAAACAAATCGTCAATTGACATAATATTTACTTTAAGTAAGTTTGGTTATGTAATAAACTTTATAAAAACCGCAGTGAATATTATAATTTTAAGAATATTAATGAAATTAGATAAATAAATCATCTTACAAATTCATAAGTTTCACTTTAAACAATTCTAGATATTCTATCTAATAACTTTTCTTCACGTATACCAAAAAAATATTTTCTCCAACATAAAGCAGTTATTTCTTTTTGATTCGCCAAGCGGTTCAGTAAAGAATTGTTTGTTTGTTTGTACATATATAAGCAACGCTACGCGATGGGCTATCTGCGCTCTGCCAAGAACTGTTACTGAAACTCGCATTTTAGCGTATAATCCTTCAAAATTACTGCTTATCTACTGGAAGTTCTAAGTAAAGGAAAATAAATATGTGAACAACAATGATTCTTTAGTTCTTTCCTGATACATTTAAATATTCTTTTATTTATAAAGGAGTCTCACATTAAATTTAGTTTAAAAATCAACGTTTGAATACAAATTGACTTATTCTTAAGCGTTGCTTTTAACACAATACAATTGTCGAGAAAATTTTTAATTAACTCTTACGAATTATCAAAAAAGAAGTTTGAAATACTCCTAAGAGCTCCTAAAGAAAGTGAGTTTTATTAGTCAAAATTTATTATAGCTCATTAACACATTCACTAGCCATGAAACACCATATGAATATTATATATATATAAAGAATTGGAACTGAAAATACTACGATAGTATCGTGAAGTTGCACTCTCGTAGTTTTAGAAATAGATTAAATCAGGTAGATTAAAGAAATGTTTTTGATACTAAGCAATATATATATATATATATACTTTATTTAAGCACAACAAAGGAATTAAGGAATATCTAATTGCTTGTGTGAGATATATATTCTGTAACTTTGAAGGGTATGACCATAAACGGTACTACAATATTTATAATGATTTTATTATTACTATTTTTCAAAAAAACTGTAACTATGAGTTGTGATAACCGTGTACACCTCGAAACTGATTATTTTACAAATTTTGCGATAGTGTTTCGACCAATACTGTAGTTTTTGTACCCTAGCCGCCCTGATGAATTCTTGTATTGAACAAAACGCGTCGTAAGCAATGCATATGACTGAAATTTCTATGAGGTAAGTTAATTAATAATAAATAATTATAAAGTTTTATTAAAATATTTAAGAAAGAACGGCAACATGTTTTATGTAATTCGTAGTATGTTCCTATGAGCAAGTGGATTAATTACGATTTATTTCCTCATTTTTGAAAAGTAAACAAAATGACTATATATTTTCACTTGAATAAAAAAAGAGATCAATATATTTCATAAATAAGTTTATTAAAATGTTTTTGCATAATTTTCAGGCGTGATTCTACCACTTTTAAATATGTATTTAGAATGTTATTTTAGTATCTATCTACTGTAAACATACAGTATTATTATGAAACCTTTACATAATAATGGATCCCATAGATGGCACTCTAAGTAAAAAAATTGAAAATGTTTCCAATCAAAAAGGTTTGTTTGTAATTAAGCACAAAGCAACACACCACGGGTATCGAAACCCGAATTCTAGCGTTCTAAGTCCGCAGACATACCATTGTGCCACTAGGGGGTTCCAATCAAAAAGGAAAGATGATATATATATATACACACACACAAAACGTACGATTAAAATGATCCGAAAATTTTTTATTTGCTTGCATGATATAAATTACGCGCAAACCTATAAATTCTACCTTATCCTATTCACCATAAACATTTTGTATTGTTTGACTACATTATTTAATTAAATTTATAATTATAGTAATGGTTGTTTTGATTATTTTTCCTCCATGAGTCGTTTAAACCACATGTAATACTGTTAAAAATAGAGTGAGCACAGTTATTTATGTTTTGGTTTAATTACTACATATTTAACAATTGAGTTCCTGAAAACTATAATTTTCTATGATTATTTTGGCATAAGAATTATAATATTTTCTAGTTATACTGTTTATTTAGATTTTACCATTTCTCAATATATATATATATTTAAGTAATTGTGTTTAGAAGAAACCTGAAGACTAAGACCCTACATCCATAACAAAGCCTATTATGATAATTTTTCTATCATGTAAACTGACAAAACAATGTAGTAATTTAAATCTAATTAAGCGTTAAATGACATTTTAGTAGCAGATTAACTCCCATGTATAATTTTTCTATGTTCAGCATTGAAAGCATTCTCCATAATGTGTAGGTGTCACTGAAAATTTGTAATTAAGCTCAAAATAGGCGTTAAATAACTGAACTTTCTTTTAATTTCAGTTTAATTAAGGTTTTCTTTTCATTTCGAAGTTTCGAATCTCAGTTTTCTTTTGTTTTTCTCTAGCCATAGTCTTTAACAAGTTCAT